AAGGGTACTGAAGACTTGAACAACATTATCTATCAACTTGACCTGATTAACATTTGTAAAACACTCTACCCAATAACAGCAGAATACCATAATAGACCATATTCTGGGATATAAAACAAATGTAACAGGATGAAAGACATACAAAGTATGTTCTCTGACCACGATGGAACTAAAAAGAGCAAATGAAGTCCAAAGAAAGCAGAAAAAATATCAGAGCAGATATAAAAAAAAAATAGAAATACAATAGAAGAAATCAGTAAAACGTATTAGCTAGTTCTTTGAGAAGATCAGTGAGTCTGATAAACCTGTTGCCAGGTTAATCAGGAAAAGGGGGAGGGGCAAAAATTATTAATGTCAGTAATGACAGCGGTGATAACAGATTCTACAGTTATTAAGAGAGAACATTATGAACCACTTTATATCAATATATTTCAGAAATCAGATGAAACATAAATTCCTTGAAAGACACAACTACTAAAGCTCATTCAAGAACTAGATACCCTGAATAATCTTTTATCTTTTTTAAAAATTGAATTAGTAATTACAAATTTTCCCACAAAGAAAAATCCTGGCCCAGATGGCTTCACTGGGAATTCAATCAAACATTAAGAAGTAACAACAATTCTATATAAACCTTTTCCAGAAAATGGAAGAAGGTATACATCCCACCGAGTCAACTCATACTAAGAGCCAGCATTTCTCCCGTGAACGTAAACATAAAATTTCTTGACTATGAACTACGTGTACCTGGCTAAATCCTTGTAACAGTTCCATGTCACCACTGTTTGAAATGAGGGTGGATAGATTAGGGGAAAAGAATGTTAGGGGTTTTTGTATGTGTTGAGAATATATTTTGGAATGTTTTAGAACACTAGCATTTTGGCAAAATGAATTTATAAGACCCCACGTATTTAACCATGTCACATTTTTGCTTGGACCCTTCAATGATCTCCCATTGCCATTGCAATAATGTTCTTAATATAGCCTACACTGCCCCCTGCACGGTCTGACCACCACTTAACTCTGCAGCCTGATTAACACTCCTTCACCCCCTACTCTTTCTCCTCCATCCACGCTGGCTGTTTTAGCCCCTCAAACTCCTCCGCAGCGCACTTGCACACACACTGTCCTCACAGCCTGGAAACCTGTCCTGATTTGGTCACTCATCCTTCAGCTCTCCGCTCAGTATTCATGTTCTTGGAAAAGCCTTCCCTGACCTTCCTGACAAGGTCAACCCGTCATGGGTTCCTATTGCACCAAGAACCTCTACTCCCAGCATTTACTAGAATGTGAGTTGTCATATGAAACATTATACATGTTATATTTAAATGTTATATGAAATGTGACTATTTGATTAATGCCTATCCCCTTCAGTTGTTATGTGAAATGTTATATTTAAATTTTATGTGAAATGTGATTGATTAATGCATATCCCCCTCATTAGAGTATAAGGTCCACGGAGTCTGGGATTGGTTCCGGTTTTGTTTGCTATTTTATTCCCAGTGCTTACCACAGTGTCTGGCACATTCCTGGGGCTCAAAAGCATTTGGAAAGGGAGAAAAGAAGAGAGCGAAGGGAAAAGAGAGGGAAAAGAATACAGACAGACCTTGGAGTCATGGATAAAGCAGTTCAGAACTGAGGAGAGGTTTTATTTCCATAGCATCTTCACTAGATAGCAGCATTAACAATAGTGGACACACTGAAAAAGTACGTTGATTTTCAAAATGCCCTGTTTTGGGTAGTGAGATCTCTGATCATTCCCACTCTGCTACTGTTTCTATTTATTCACTTCTATCATATATGTCTTACTAATCTGGCTAACCCACTATTTAGAATATCAGGTAGAAATATTTCTTTCCTGTAAGTAAAAAAAAAAAATCCGCACAATAACTTAAATAGGTTTGTGAGTGGTGGGGATGGTGGAGATTTACAGGTTTTGTGTTTTTAATGTGACAGGAAGTTCAGAGATAGGCATTTCAGGACTGGTGAAGCTGATTAAAAATTTCCATAAGAAACCAGAGTCCTACAACCCTGCTCTGCCAGTCTTAGCTTGCCTGGAAGAAATGTCTGCTGCATCTCCAGGGTAAGAGACCCAAAGCCCTCTCTGGGGACCTCTGCCTACATCTCCTTGCCAGAACTGGTTCACATAGCCATTAAAGCTGAAAGGGAGGCTGGGAAATTGAGTACATTTGACACCTTCCCTTTTTGAACAAAAAGGGGGATTGGGATGGGTACTGAGAGTCAAGCTCAGTATCTCCCACAGTGAGCGAATCCACTTTGGGCCCCAGTGAAAAAGCTTCTGGGAAGGACACAATGGTAATTATAAAGTAATACCCAAGAGAAAGTTTCAATGAGAAACAAATAGCTTAACTTGGAGAAGAGGCTACGGAGCCTTCACCTCCTCTGCCTTGACCTGGCAAATCCCTATTCACATTTGAAATTCAGCTCAGGCTTTCCTTCCTGCAGGAAGCTTTTCCAAGTTCTTACCTTGTGTTTAAAAATACCTTTACTGAAATATAATTTACACACAGTACTATAAAATTCATCCTTTGAAAGTATACAATTAAGTGGTTTATAGTATATTCCAGAGTTGTGCAATCATCACTACTGCCTAATTTCAGAATTTTCATTTCCCCCAAAAGAAACAGTACCCATTAGCAGTCACACCCAGTACCCATTAGTAGTCACTTCCCATTCTCTACTCCCCCCAGACCCTGGCAACCTACTTTCTGTTTCCATGGATTGGCCTATTCTGGCCATTTAATATAAATGGGATCATGCAATCTGTGGCCTTTTGCGACTGGCTTCTTTTACTTAGCATAATGTTTTCAAGGTTCATCCATGTTGTAGTATGTATCAGTACTTCAATTCTTTTTACAGAATCCATTGTACGGATATATTATTTTGTTTGTCTATTCACCAGTTGATGGACATGTGGGTTGTTTCCACTCTTTGGCTATTATGAATAATGCTGCTATAAATATTCATGTACAAGTTTTTGTATGGACATATATTTGCATTTCTCTCTACACCTAGTAGAACTGCTGGGTCATATGATACCTCTACATACAATATTTTGAGGAACTGTCAGACAGCCTTCTAAAGTGAGGTTTTCTATCATTTTAAACATATAATTAGCTGTAATCATCTTAAATAATAGTTTACTTTGAAAAGGACTCTTTATTGCTTGCACAATATGAAGTGGCTGCATCCTGAGGTTGTTCAAAATGACATATAATTGGCTTCTTCCCACATGTGTGCTCGGGGTGGGAGAAATGAATTTAAAATCTTTTCTATTTGTTTCTCATCATTTTTAACTTCTATGTTTATTTCAAATGTACACATTGAACTCATATATTAGTGCATAATTCTTTAAAATTATGGAGTTAATGAATAGAGCAATTCAAGGTTGAGGTAGTTTAAAAATATTATTGCTGTTTTTTAATTACAACATCTCCATCAAAGGGTGCATTAATTGGCAACTAATATTGAAAACTTGCATGGGAAACCTTTAGAGTTTATACAAATTCCTGGACTTAAGTGACAAGGACTCTGTGAGTCTCCTGAACCCTTCGGTCTTTTTTCCTTGGTTCTATAAGATGCCTCTTCCTGACCAGACCAATCCAACAAATCCTCAGAGAAACTGTACTGTAAATTAATGTACTCACGTAGAGAAAAGGCTTAAGGGACCCTTATTTTCTTCCATTCACACGACTCCTGCTCATTCTTTAACACTCTGCTTAGGCATCTCTGCTCCCTCCTTCCCAGTCACCCAACCACCCTAACCCAAATCCCCAAATATGGGTGGCTGCCTCTCCTATGTGTGCCGGAAAAAATCCCTGTTTATTTCTATCTTAGCACTTAGTACACAGCATTGACATTGCTTCCTCTCTATCTATGTCACCAGATAGTGATCCCATTATGGGCAGGACTCAGCTTTATTCATCTCTATGTCAATGGCCCTGAGCACAGTGCTTGACAGAGAGTGTGCACAGTGTATCCTAACCAACCAGTGAATGGCTTTTCAAAATAAGCACATTCTACTTCAAGTGAACCAGATTTATCCCGCACAGCTAAACTGGGAAATGGTAGCTCACTGTATACAAAGAATGACTGATTGCCTGAATGAAGTAGCTAAACTGGGAAATGGTAGCTCACTGTATACAATGAATGACTGATTGCCAGTCACTGTCATGACAGCTTAACATATGTGAACTCATTTAAACCTAACAACTACCCTACAGGGTATGTACAATCATCAACCCCAATGTACCGATGAGAAAACTAAATTCTGAGAGATTCATGACTTGCCACACAGACGGTAGAGGAGTCAGGAGCTGAATGAGTGGAACCTGAATTCTATGAAGGCAGAGCCCATGTTTTTCACCACTGCACAGTCAGGGTGTATATGCATATATATAGATACAGCAGGGGTTCAACAACTGTTGGTTGAATGAGTTCACCTGGCTACACCTGATATCAGCTGCCTATCCACAACTTATGGCAAAGAGGCAACTCTTTCAGTCCCTAGACCTGGCTCTCTGATTCATCTTTCCCACTGTTTTCCTCCACATTCCTCCACATACTGGTTCAAGACCCAGACTGGCATTTTTAGCATTTTAGTTTGAAGAGAGCAACCCATGGGCACACACGTGAAAAGCAACCCAGTATGGAAAAGAGGAGATGAGTAAAGTAAACACAGAAAAGTCACTCTGTGAGATGGGACTGGAATCAAGCATCCTGATTTCTGTGGTGGAATCACATGATAGCTAACATTTCCCTAGGGCTTACTGTGTACAATTCCAAATTCATGATTGCACAGATGATCCTTATTTCAATGAGCCATGCGGCTTCTCCCAGATATGTAGCTCATTCTTAATGTGATCAAAGAAAGACAAATGAAATGATATGGATTGGTCGAGAGGCTGCTCTCAGGGCCACAAAATATTAAAATAGATAGCCAAGAGAAAATAGGGGTAAGAACCCCACCTGACCTGATGCATTAAAGGCCTCTTAAATGTGGATTCCTTGTGCCCCAGGATCCACCTCCTCTAGTCAACTAGAGGACAGGGGCGGCATTCCAGATCCAGGACTACGTGATCCACATGGGGAGCATAGGATTTCACTGACTGAATGTGCAGGATTTGTGTCTTCCACGGTTTTCCATGTACCTGCTGAAGAAGAGTGGCAATTCGAGTTTCTGCAGATTCTGCCCACCTTTGCCACTCTGGCTTGGTGGCTGGTGACAGCATTTTTCTCCTAGAATCCCTGGTACCTCCATTTTTCCATTGGTTGGTGCTAGTTTGCTGAGGATAAGGCCAATGCTCTTTGTCCACTTCACTGCTTCCAGGAGGCTGAAGATTCTCCCCTGGGAAAGATTCCACATTTTGGTGGATATGCAAAGTGCCCCCAGCATCCTGTCGAAGCACTTGGCAGGCAACTGGCCAGCCTTCTTCAGAGCTGGGAATCAGCCCCAGGTTTACCCTATCTGCAATGTTTGAGAGTTTCAGTTTCCTGTTATCCCCGAAGTGTACTTGGCACCGATCTGCTACTCCATTGATCTCAAGGTTATTTCTAAGAGCAACTACAGCATGGGGGTTCCACTCACAGGCATGGACGAAGGCAGCACCAGCATGAACTAGGAAGGGCAATGTAAAGTAACCAATCCCTGCATAGAGATCCACCAGCACCTCTCCAGCACAGGACAGTGATGCCACTCGCAGCTTCTCACTGATGTTTCCAAAGGAGAACATGCACTGTGTCACATCAAACCTATATCTGATACCATTATCCACATGCTCTACCCAACCATGGTTGCCCAGCAGCAGAGTCACTGTTGGAGTTCGAGTGCCATCAGGTGATACCCTCCCTCGTTTTGCCAAACGTTGGACGCCAAGTGCCGAGGCAACGGTCTCCCAGAGTTCTGGTTCCAAATTTTTCCATTGCTTGGCTTGGAAACAGTCTTCACTCAGCAACAGGAGGTTACCGTGCCGTTGCCAAGATCGGGGCAAATCAGCCTCCAACTCGGCTGACCACGTGACTCCCCGACCCTTAGCCCAGCGACTCACCGCAAGACACAACCTCTGGGCAGGTGAGCAGCGCTGGGCCTTCTTCGAAGGAACAGGATCCGGAAGCTGCATCAGCATACAGGTGCTGCCTGGGGCCACGCGATTCCTCAGCTCCCGTAGGTGCTGCTCGGGGACGGTCTCTCCCAGCACCGGGAGCGCCACGGCGCCGTCCGGCATCTTCACCGCACGGTGCTGTCTGTCCAAGAGTGTCTGCTTCTCGAGGTAGTCCCTGTATCGCTGGGCAAACCGGGGCTCGGTCACAACTGCGACAACAGCCACGCACTTCCCACATTCTCTCTCCATGTTGCTTGAGCCCACATACTCTCCGATTCCCGGCGAAACTCGCCGTCTCCAGAGTCTGTCCACCCACCGGCTACCTACACCGCCAGTTACGCACGCGCGCCGCTGTGGCTGGGCAGGAAGTGACGTCAAACAAACAGGCCGGAACTAAGTGTATCGATGCGATTCTTGGCGAATGTGCTGCCGTTACTGGGGTGAAGCTGTTGCCTCCATCTTTCTTGTGGTCTTCCATCACTTTCTTCAGCCTGGGATGAAATTAATAATAACGAGGAATTCCTTGGGCTCTAAGACTTCAAATTAGTCGATATCCTTCAGCACCCTCATGCACTTTCTTTAATGCTGCTCATGAATCCAAGGAGAGAAGTGAACTTGAAATGATGGATTGAATTTGGAGAAAGGCTTTCCATAACCTAATGGTGCTCCTTGGTCAGCATCAGCAGCCACCTTATTTGCTGAAAGTGGAGTCAGATAGAGCTTCCTTATTCGCTTTTCTGGCAACAAGAGTCATCACCGTTTCACTGTCTTGTGGTCCAACAAACAAGAAAGTTTGAAAGTAAGAAGGACCTGAGTTGGGGTGTATTATACCCCTCAAAAATGGAATCTTCACCTATAGAATGGGAATTACCTTAACCTTTTTTAGAGGATCACTATAGTTAGTAGAGATATTATATATAAAATATTTTAAACACTGACTAGTAAAGAGTAGATACTCAAAAAAATATAAAGTAACAAGTTGAATTGTTTGAATGGCAGATACTAAATACCTATTGAAATGTTTTAATGTGTTTAAAGAGGACAAAGGCAATTCCTTAAGATAAATTCAGAACTTTAAAGAAGCCCCATCCCTTCTACTTATCTCTCACCATTTTACAGATTAAGATATTAAGACCCGGAAAAGTTAACATTAATTGAAGTCCCCAGTTATTCTTTTCAGGTCCCTTTGTACAGGAAATACAAGGCTATGACTAAAACTCTTGTTTGTTTGTTTTTTTTTATAAGATGACCGGTAAGGGGATCTTAACCCTTGACTTGGTGTTGTCAGCACCACGCTCAGCCAGTGAGCGAACCGGCCATCCCTATATGGGATCCGAACCCGGGGCCTTGGTGTTATCAGCACCGCACTCTCCCGAGTGAGCCACGGGCCGGCCCTAAAACTCTTGTTTGTTGACACCTATTCAGCATCAATCAGAGTTGTTGTTTTCAGGTTCATCTCTATGTTTAAGACTCAGATTCCATGGAGAAAACATCAAATAGGGCTAGTGCAGAAGATCCAGTTAGTCCCCCATGTACTCTTGGAATTCACCATTCCTGTATAGCTGGCCCAATGGCTTCTAACTGAAAGCACTTAGGAATCTTTGCTTATGGCTTTTTCTGACCACCAGAATTGGCTTATTTCATGTGCAGGGTAGGCCAGAAATGCTGAGGAATTAATGCCCATATTCATCTCTCCCAGGAGCATCCCTCAACCAATGACTGATGGAAGTTGGTAAATAAATATCCCAGCTTCCACACACCTTAGTTGGAATAACTCTGAGGCATATTCTATACTGTCTGCAAGAGCTCCCTCAGGACTTCGGTTTTTCTGTAGTCCTTTGTATGTCCTGCACTCTCAATCAATCTCTCTCTCTCTCTCTCCCCCCCCTGCCCCATTTTGCCCTCTCTCTCTCTGTCTCCTGGATCATTTCCATCAGTATATTGCCATCTTCCATCTTTAATAACCTCTCTCTTGACTCTTCATCTCTACTGATATTCCCAAGTTCATATCTCCCACTCAGATTTCTATCCCGATATTCCAACTCCAATATCATTTGTATCTTTGATATCTCAACTTGGCATCCAACAGGCAACTCATACTTAAAACAGATTTCTTTTTGACACTACCCCTCATATATACAATGGTACCATACCATCTACCATCCACACATTTACTTAAGAATACGCTATATAAAAATTATCTTTAATAACACACTCCCCCTCCATCTTTACCTCAACTCCCTATAGCTGTTTGATAGTCAGCTACCATGGACTTACATACTCCATATACTCTAAAGTATATATCAAGATAGATAACACACTCCCCCTCCATCTTTACCTCAACTCCCTATAGCTATTTGATAGTCAGCTACCATGGACTTACATACTCCATATACTCTAAAGTATATATCAAGATAGTCAACCTCTCTTGACCTCACCAGGCACCTTCTTGCATATAGATTCTGCAGCCACCTTCTTACCAAACTAGGATTTGGTTTTAAAACATAGTGTGTGATCATATCCTCCATACTCAAAAATCCATTCTGTCTGCCATTGTTCAAAGAATAAGCTTCTTGCCCTGGCCCACCAGGCTATGCATGATGTGGCTCCTAAATCTCAGCCTGAGATGGAACTGTTCCCAGGTTGAACACACTCAGGGACACTGGTCTCTTTTCACCTTCATTCTTGTGCTCTTGTCTTTGCACTTGCTCTTCCCTTTGTTTGAGATGCCCTCCCCCGAGATGATACAATGGCTAGGGATTTGTTGAAGGTTATCTTCTTGTGCGGTCTTCATTAAGTTCTCTCTCTGAAAGAGTCATTCTCCTTTCTGCACTGTTATGTGTATTTAACCCTCTATTAATTTCTTCTTTGGCCCTTATTTGCTATTTATTTGTTTATTCTTAAATGTCTGTTTCCCTTAGCAGCAAATAATCTCATGAACAGAGAGTGTTCTTTTTCTGTTTGCTACTGTATCCCCAGCATTTTGTATAGTTGCTGACCCTAAGTCATTGCTTGGCAAATTCTCTAGCTGCTAAGAGAGTGTTTTGAACACCAAGAGACTTGAGAATCTCTGTACCCACTCAAGCATAAATCCATTTCTGTAAATTTAGAAAAAGACTCAAATAGACTCAGATGGTCTTTGCTATTTTACTTAAACCTATAGATGAAAGTTTAAATGAATTACGGTACATCCTTTAGATAGAATATTATACAATGATTAATATGATGATGATGTAAACTGGATGCTCCTCCCCACCCCCAACCAACCTCATTGAAGCTTAATCCCCACTGAAACTGTTGAGGGTGGGAAATCCTATTATGGTAATTGAAAGGCGGGGCCTTGAAGAGGTGATTAGATTATAGAACCATGCTGTAGTGAATTGATTAATAATGATGGTGAGGGGAATGGTTCTGAGGGCTTTAAAAGTAGACTAAATGAGGAGGTGAGTCTCTCTCTCTCTCTCTCTCTGCTCCACCATTTTCACAATGTGATGCTCCACTGCCACTGTTGCCACCACCAAGGCTGTCACCAAATGTGTTCCCTGGACTTTGGACTTCCCAGCCTCAGAAACTGTGAACAATAAATTTCATTTTCTTATAAATTACCCAGTTCTGTGCATTTTGTTATAAGCAACAGAAAAAGACTAATACAGATGATCATAGAAATTTTAATGATATGAGAGGTTATTCCTTACACAGTGTTAAGCTGAAAAATACATAGTATACCTCAGATGGTTGCATGTTATTTATATATGTACAGTGGTGTGCCACATAATGACATTTCAGTCAGTGATGCACTGTACATACAATGGTGGTCCCTTTGGAGTATAACAGAGCTGAAACACTCCTATAGTCTAATGATGTCATAGCCGTCATAATGTAGTAGAGCAATTACTTTATTTTTTATAAATTTAGCATACCGTAAGTGTGCAGTGTTTATAAAGTGTATAGTGTACAGTAATGTCCTAGACTTTCACATTCACTGAGCACTCTCTCACTGACTCACCCAGAGCAACTTCCAGTCCTGCAAGCTCCATTCATGGTAAGTTCCCTATACAGGTGTACCATTTTTTATCTTTTAAGTGTACCATACCTTCTCTGTGTTTAAATACGTTTAGATACACAAATACCAGTGTGTTACAATTACCTACAGTATTTAGTACAATAACATGTTGTGCAGGTTTGTAGCCTAGGAGCAATAGGCTATACATAGCCTAGGTGTACAGAAGGCTATACCATACAGCCTAGGTATGTATTATGTTCTGCTATCTAGGTTTGTGTAAGTACACTCTGTGATGTTTACACAATGATGAAATCATCCAACATCACATTTCTCAGAATGTACCCTTGTTGCTAAGCAACGCATGACTGTATATAAACAAGTTTGTTAGGGCATGCTTTAAAATGTAAACAATGATTCAAGTGATTTTCTGTATGTGATGCAATTATAGGTAATTCAAGTTTTCTTTTGTATATTTTTCTATAGTTACAAATTGTATATAATGACCAAATGTTATTTTTATATCTTAGAAACATTATTAGAAAATCTGATGCAGTGAGGAAATATTTTTTGGATCCCATATAAACGGGAATTCCCTTTAGTTTATATTTGTAGTAGGGGGTGGGAAAAGCCATAACATACAGTATTTTTTCTCTAGGTTTCCTTCTGTTTCAAAGTCAGTCTGACATCTTGCAACAATAATTAAAATAATGTAGTATAGACTTTGACCCAGACTACACCTTGCCTTTAATCTGAAATAAACAGATATATATAACAAAATATCAGAGTGAATGATTTGAAAGCTGGAATAATGTTGGAGAGTTGCAAACGGTCCTTTTAAAGTCGCAGATTTACAGAGGAGTCACACTTGTAGATGGCCACCTTGGTCCACCATAACTCAAACACATGGCCTCACTTTCCTACCAGTTCTGTCACCTGAACTCATTAAAATCAGAACAAAGTAAAAGCAACCAGCAAGAACAATAATAAACAAGCTTGTAGATAGTATATGAGTTCAAATGCAGAGGGGCACAATTACTCAGTAAAGGAGAAGTAGTTTAGAGAAATTAGCTGAAGAGGGGAGGGGAGGATGGGCAAACTTTGTCACATATTGCCTCTCCCAGAGTGGCCAGAATGATTTCATTCCACAGTAACCTCAGACAGAGAGGCTCCAGCTGGAGACGTGTCTGTGTTACCAACCTCTTTTCAGTGAGATGCAAACATATTGAAGACCAAGGGTCCATCTAGCAGCCCGATCACAGAGAGGCTGCATTCCTCCTCTAAGGGCTTTTCTTCCCTGCAAGACATCAGCTTCCATGTGAGAAGGAGGTTCTGAATTTTGTTGAGCTGGCTGTGCACAAGAGCTTCCCCCC